GTACTGTTTTCAAAACCTCACTCACGGTGCCCATTCTAGGGCCCCGCTGCTGGGCTCTGCCAGAAACCCGGCCCTCCTGGCTGGAGGCTGCCAGCTCACCACTGCTTCCTGTATCCTTCAGCGGAGGTTTTCTGCATCTGTATGTCGGGAAGGCCCGGATGTTCACGGGTGACGAGCGGAGCGGGGTGGGGTGGGGTTGGGGGTGGAGCACCAGGGATCAGCGCAGCGAGCGCGTTGGGCCACAGCAGCATGCGGCCCCAAGGCTGTGCCCGGGCCTGTTCTGTCCTGTCTTCGGCGTCTTCCCCCGGCCGTACCCATCTCTGCTCCATCAGCGCCATGTGGACAGTGAGTAATTCCACCGGAATTCACCCCCAGCCACCAACCTTCAAAACCTCTCAGCATCCGAGTAATGGAGCTACCCTAAAGGTGACTGTTCCTTTTTAAGTCTTAAAGGCCGCCGTGCAGATGTGCTGCAGGCCTGCTGGGGCAGGGGGGAGGGCTCCCTTGGGGATGCTTGGCCTCTGGATGTGCCCTGTGCCAGTAATCACCATGACTGTAAGACTCAGGACTGTGACTGTGGGGAGCACCCCGCTCACCCCACTCGCGTTAGGACCCAGCCAGTGGCAAGAGGAACGCACAAGGGCTTCCAGAAGGCGCCAGCGTGCCTGGGTCTCCTGTCCTCTCCTGTTTTCACAGACCCCCATGCTCTGGTTGTGAAAGGGCCAGGACTGGGCTATTTGGTTCAGCTCTCTCCTTTTGGATGATGACTGATGCCAGTTTTAATCTGGGTGATTATATACCTTCCTATCACTGTGGGGCAGTGGGATTATGAAAGGACTCTCATTTTCTTTGTATCATTAGAATTTTTATGTTATCTGGAAAATAAGGTATCTTAATTTAAAAAAATGTACTTTTCCTTTTATTCCTGATGCTTAAATGGAGCCACTATCCTGTAAATGGAAATTATATCATCCACTGCAGCACAAAGCCCTCGTACCAAGGCAAGCAAAGTGACGGCACCCAGCACCCTGGTGGAGCTCTCTGCAAAGAGGCACTGCTATGCTTCAGATCTAAAATAGCCTCCAGGAGTCTCATGCCCAGACACCGGGCTTTTGGAAAGTGAGTGGGTCACAGGGGTTGTGCTGGATGCCAACCAGTGGTCACCCAGCTGAATGAATGAGCATGGGGCTGGGTGTGGGAGGCCCGGCTGAGGGTGGCTGCCGGCAGCCTAAGAGGCAGAACTGGACAAGCTGGAGGGAGGCCGTGAGGGAGGCCATGAGGGAGCTGCTGGTGCTCTTGGGCTGTTCTGCTGGAGGACCGTGTCCTGCTGGCTTTCCCGGTGAACTTGGCTATTCTCAGAGGAGGAGCAGCTCGGGACCTCGTTGCTGAGAATGGCTGTGGTTCTCTTTGGGGGAGCTTGGTCCTCATCTTGAGCATCGCTTCCTGGCTCCAGAGGAGAAAATGGCGCACTGCTCAGCGTTGTGGAGAAGCTTGTCGCACTGGCTTTCCCGATGGGAACTCGACTTTCTTCATCCTCAGAAGAGCTTGGGACTCACTGTTGCTGAGGACAGCTGTGGTACCTTGCAGGGGAGCTCTGGGGCTTATTCTGAATGTCATTTCCTGGCTCCAGTGCAGACCCCTCAGCCTGCTGGCGCAGCTCCTCCATCCCGCTGGCACAGACTTTTTAGCTTCCACTACTGACCTTGGCGCCTTCCCAGCGCAGATCCGTGAAGCAGGCCTGCATGAGACATTGTCGTTGCCTCTAGGCCTCCAGCTGGACTTGTGTTATGGGTTCTAGGTCTTCAGCTGGCAGATTTCCTACACTCTTAGTACATGATCACTTGGGTGAGTATAAATTAATCTTATTAAATGTGTCCTGTATTGTACTGTTCCCCTTACAAGCCCCCAACAGGGGTGTTATACACACCAGAGGATTAATGCACCAAGGAGTTCCTGGCTGGCTGCGCTGTCAGAAGGTAGAGCCTGCTCAAAGAGGCCGGCCCCTGGGGGCCTGCCCAGGAAGAAGGTATTCCTGCCCAGCTCTGCCCTTCTGTCTGGCTGCTTGGGCAGATCAGGTGCATCTTCCATGCCCTTTCGGCCTCAGAGCTGGCCAACTGTGGGCTGAACCTTCTAGAAATGTGAGCCAGAACGATGCTTCCCTCCTGTATGCTGCAGGTGCTGGGTGCTGGACCTCAGCAGTGGCAATGCAGACTCACACAGGGACCCTTCCACTAGAGTTGTACAGCTGCTCCGCCCACATGATGACCTCCTGTCTGATGTAAGGAGAACCCCACCTCCTCACAACAGCTGTCAAACCCTATCCCATGGGACTCACAGCTGTTCCGACCCTCACCCCCCTCCTCAGGACCTCTGCACCTGCTGCGGCTCCCTCTCTCACTGACTGGAGACAGCTCCTCAGACACCACCTCAACAAAAGGCAGTCGCTGTCCACCTGTCCTAAATGGAACACTGCAGCTCCTGTCTCCCTCTGTCCCTTACTTGGCTCCATTTCTCCATCCGCCTACCACCTCCTGACAGCTGATATGCTTGTTTATCATCAGTGATCCTAAGCACTGGATGATAGCAAGGGTCATGGCAACTCAGAGCCTTCACCCCAGTTTAAAGGGACAAGGGCTCCACAGCCCTAGTCACTGTCGCTGCGCAGGAATGCGAACTCCCAATCTTCCAATCTTCCAAGAGAAGCCGCCATTCGGATTTCCCCAGACTTTCCCGGTGCTCAAGTGTCAGCTCGGAATTCACAGCCTTGCACAGCGCTGTGCCACAGGACTGGGTGAGGCTGGCAGCACGCGTCTGCAGCCGTGTGAACCCAGGGCCACTGAGAAGCCGAAGTCCACGGTGGTTTGCGCACAGGCGCAAAGGCTGGTTTGTCTCAGCGGTGAAGGTCGGGGGGACAGTGTCCTTGGGCTCGCGTTTCCTTCTGCTTCACTTCAGGCTGCCCTTGCAAACAGTGCCTGGAGCTGAGTCCAGCCAGCCAGCTGGGTGCCTGTCCTCCCTCTTGCCTCTTCTGATCACATCGCTTAATGCTTTCGCCTTTGCAGGAAACCAGCGCTGCCATTCGCTCCCTGCTTTCGCAGGAAAATAACTCCAAGGGGAAATTGACTGTGAAGCCTTAAGGAGTGGCCCCTCAAGATGGGGAGAAAAAGGAGAGAAAGGAATACAATCAAGCGCTCACAGCAGAGGAAATTAAGTGCTGGCAGAGCAGCAGCCGTGCCAGCCCAGAGCCTGCACACTCAGGAATGCTAATGGCCTGAGAAGCTGGCAAGGGACACTGCCGCCCTGGCACAGGAGTGGGGGTGCGAAGGGGAGGAATTATGTGCTCATTTAACAAGAGGTACTGGACGCTGGACCAACGATGGCACATTACCACCGCCTCTGGCTTCAAGGCACACATGGATTCCGAAGACAGAACGCAGCAGGCTGACCTTGGCTAACATCCAGCTTCCAAGCAAACTAAGAGAAACCAAGGACGCGTTTTGCACAGACAGATTCTGAGAGGGGGACTGCCTGATAGTGTCCGAAGTCCACGGTCTGCTGGGGTGATGTTTTAAAAGTAAGGAAGCCCACAGTTTTGTCCACTGTTGCACCCACTTTTACAGACTGGAGAGGCACTGAACAGAAAAGGAACGGTTTCCTTTTTTCATTATTCAGGAAGGCAAACATTCCCTACTAATACAACTAGGATGGGAAACAGAAGGACTGCTCCTCCTCACCTGTCCCTCCTTCAGAAGCGAGGAAGAAAGGCACTCAGGCAGCAGTCACAGGAGTGCTTCCTGGACAACAGCTCCATCTCTGCGGTGAGTCATTTTCACTTCACAGAGGCACACTGGGGAGCAGCAGTGTTGCCCCCCCAAAGCCTCATGCAGTCATGGGGTGGCTTCTGGCGTTTGTGACTGATTATTGTGGGTGTGACTGCTGCACGCCCCTGGGCAGGTAATCTGCATTACAATGTAAGGAGGGGAGAGAGGCTAGCCAGATGCCTGAGCTGAGGTGCCTCCCTTCGCTCTCTCCGCTCTTTGCCACTGCCTTGAAGGGTTGTTCTTCGCCATGTGCCGCTCTGCTTTGGAGCCAGCTGAATATGGCCTGAAACCTCCACTGACTGTGAGCTACATAAACCTTTACTTCCTCCATTTTGGATGTTGGGTATTTGTCCCAGCAACGCAAGAAGAGTAACCAAGACGAGAAGCAGCACACAGAAGCAAGCCTCTGCCCCTGCAATCTGTGGCCAGGGCCAGAGGCTGACACCTGCTGCTTGGGCAAAGGGGGAAGCGGCTCCTACCTGCCATCTCTGGGTCGTGCTGCTTATAAGGAACCAGAAAGAGGCTTCCCTCACCACTCTCATTACCAAAGCATACACCTGAGCAAACTGCAGCAAGCCATCCCTTGGCCCGCACACGGGCCCCAGCCTGCTAAGTACCCCAGGTCTCCTCCCCTCATCCGGGTCTCCTCGCTCAGCCCCGCCCCCTTGATCAGCCCCGCCCCCACTGTCAGCCGCGCCAGCTGCTGCTCCGGCTTGGCCTCGGGGCACTAACTGCGTGGTCCCTGCTGCCCTGGTGAGGGGCGATGGCCCCCAGGTGTGACAGGTCAGGTGCACAACGCACACAGGCTGAGGCTCAGCCCACCAGCTGCCTCAGGTGCCCCCGGCCTCGCCCTGTGCGTAGGACCCCCGGCACACATCACTCCTGGGAGGCCTTCCTGCGCGTACTCCCTCCTCCTCCCGCGTGGCCTCTCTTGCTGCGGAGGGATTGGATGCTCAGACACCAGCCCTAGTGACCTCCACCAGCGGAGGCCTCTGTACACCAACCTCTGGGTACTAGTGTTAGGTACCTGCTCTGCATGTGCATCAGAGTGTGCATGAAGAACTTCTAGAAGCCAGGGAACGAGGATGGACAGTGTCTCTGTGAGCAAGTGTCCCGAGGGAACGGCAGCCCAAGCCCAACGTTCTGCAGAAGCCTCAAGTGGAGGGCAACGCCAGTGCCTACCTGTGGACGGTCCCCAGAAGCATCCCTGGCCGTGGCAGGCACGTCCACACAGGGCTCAGAATCTTCCGAGCAGTCCGGAGGAGGCGCGAGCTGCAGTCGAGAGCCGGCTTCTGTTCTGATCTGCACCGATTTCTACACATAAAAATGCGGAACACTTCAGATACGATGGAATGAACATCTCTCCTCTGCTCGGGGGCACGGGCTAGTGCGGGAGGGGCTGATCTCAGGGCCATCTGCCCCCATCTTCTCCAGGAACCCAACTCCTACCCCGCTTTGGAGCCACCGCTCTCTATCCACCACCTGACTCCGAGGCAGCGATGGGCCCTGCTCAGATTGTCACAGCACTGGCGTCCCTTGCTCCGGGTGTGACAGTGTGAAGGTACCAGGGTGGGTTCTGAGGAAAGTCCTGCTTTCCCAGTAGTCACAGCAGACCCAGGGGACACAAGGCTTTCACCCTGAGCCCTCTACACTTCTTACTGGCTGGAAGGTGTGAGGGAAATGTGGGGGAAAGGACCAAGGTCCAATGGAAGCCAGGAGAAGCCGGGCTCCCAGCAACACTGCCCACCTGCCCACTGGCGGCCACCTCCAGATGCTTCTTCCTGAGAGAGAAGAGCAGCCATTGGCACTGTCTAGCCATGGCTGTCCTGCTCCTGTGACACCCAGCTGCCCTTGGGCCCAGCTGACACCCTTCTCTGGTGCTTGGCACTTCTGTATCTGTGTTACAGCCTCCCCTGTGGGGAAAGCCTGGCTATACACTCAGACCGACCAGTTCAATCCCTGAAGTGCTCACGCCTGTTCCCTCTGCAACCCTGGGCTCCTGACGCCTTCATCCCAGCGTCGCAGGCTGAGCCCTTAGCTGTGGCATAAAACTGAGAGAGGCCTTTTAAATTATTTCCACTAGGTGCTGTGCCTACCTCCCCCTGGTCCTGCTGCTGGGGGACAAAAGGGGACACAATGCTGTGTGTGTGTGTACTGACTCCATGACCCACTGGAATAAGTGGGAGGGTAACTAGGGCCATGTGTTTCCCTGACGTCCTGGCATGAGACTTTCTCCTGGGCCCTGTAGGAGCCAACTTCCCCAGGGGACTAGGAAATGCAACCATTATCTTAATGCAGAAGACAAGGCTGTCGGGGCCCTGTTGCCCTGCAGGGCTCTCCTCTGCTCAGGACAGAGCCTCTTCTGAGCCACCTTGTCTTGCTCCTCGTCATCCCTTTCATGCAGGTGCCATGTCACTTAACATGGACTGGTGCCATCCCCAGCATGTCAGGTGTGTGTGCCTCTACACTCTCCTGTAATTGGCAGGGACACCTAAAGCACAGGTGGTGGGTCCCTGCTTAGGGTCACACAGCTGGGAGGCCAGGGCAAGGCAACAGCAGGCAAGAGGGGGTGAATGGGAGTGGCTGTTGGCCACGTTGGTCCCCAAGGGCACGAGATGGGGTAGAGTTGGGAGGCAGATGTGAGCTCTGTCACTGGGTGTGAGCTCATGGATGGAGCTGGGCCTGGACGAAAAAGCAAATCAGGGGAGACCACCTTGCCAGCCTCTGATGCCAGCCCATAAGCACAGGCACACACCCAGCACCGAAGCAGGACGGCCAGGCTTCCTTCTGCAGCTCAGCACTTCACTAAGATCGCCAGGGTGCAAACAGCAGTTTGCGGGCGGCCCAAGGCACTCAGCAAACCCCTCCCAAGCGCTGCGCCCACCCTGGAAGCCTGTGTTTATGCAGCAACTGTGACAAAGTCAGTGTGTCCAGAAAGAGTTTCTCAGGCTGAGTGGGTGCCTGGGAGGGGAATAAATAGGCCCTCCATCTGGCCTGCGCACCCGCCCCCGGCCCTGGAGCTTCCCCTCTCTGCACCCCAGGCTGCGCAGCCCCCAGCCCTGGAGCCCCAGCGCCTGCCTCCCGCCTGCCCACCCGTGCAGAGGATGACTGTGCTGCTGCGGGCTGGCTCCCTGCTTGGCAGGCGGCTGGTGGCTGTGTCGGGAGTGGGTGTGCCCGAGTGAGTGGCTGCTCTTGCCTGCCCACGTGGACACCCAGAGCCGGGTCCACCCTAGCAGTGCACGCACTGGAGGAGACTCTGAAAGCCCTGACACTGGAATCCGCGTTCTCCCTTGCCAGCCCAGAGCCAGGCCGGTTCTGTGGAGCCCACGCTCAGCCTAGCTCGGTGCCCACGGCTATTTGTGTGCGTGCGCGCCACACCCCTTGGCAATGTGCTCCACGAGGTGTGCGGTAGAGCTCCTCGTAGGTGCGGGGGCCGCCCTGCCTGGCTGTGCGGGCTGCGCAGCACTCCGATAGCTCCCCCTAGAGGCACAAGAGCTCTGGAGCGGCCCACCAAGGCAGGCAGGGGCCGGCAGACCTCCCTCAGCTGTCTGTTCCTCCCAGATTTGCCGAATCTCTTACAAATAACAGCGCTTGCCGTGCTGACAGCCTGTGCTCCACAAGGTCACCCGGAAGGCTGACACTGTACGGGTGTTTCGCTTACTGTCCTCACTGAGGAGCTTCAGAACCCAGAAATTGGGTGCCAATGACAGAGGTCTCCAGGGTCACACTTTCTCTAGGGAGCTTTTCTAGAGGTGCCAGCCGCCTGGGCCACAAGAAGAAACCGGATATGGCAGCCAAGGGAGCGCTAAGCCCGGCTGCCGACCTTGTGGGCACCTGCAGGAGACCTTTCAGGAAGGCCCACCCCGCGGTAAATCGCCGCAAGGCCAATCCCTTCGCTACCAATTTAATGCTAAGAGCTGATGACGTTCATCAAACCTGACAGCATTTTGGTAAACGACGGCTCTGTTGATTAGGCCGCTGTCCACCCAAGTATTACAAGGCTGAGGAAGCCATAAATCTTAATCCACGGATAGCGGCAGAAAGATCTAAGACCCAGAAGTAGCGGGAGGAAAGGACAGTAGGAACACCAGCCCATATATCATGGTCACGCGTTCTGCTGTGAAAGCCGCGCTCGGGAGCCACAGCCGGCGCCGGGAGCCTGCAGCCCCCACGCGGGTGCATGGGAGGGTCTCGCAGGGGCGCGCCAGCTCGTCCCCAGTGTGGATGGCTCCGAGACAACCCACTCCTTTGGGCAGCTCGCCCAGTGTGCTTCCTGATTACTGGGCAAGACCAGAAGAAGGGAAGGTCCTGGCCTCCCGGGAAAGGGACAAGGGCACTGGGCGTGGTCAGCGGGAAAGGGGTGGACTCCAGGAGTTGGGCGGGGGCCTGAGAAAGCCCAGCGAGTGGAGTCAGAGGAAACGGTGGGGCTGTCCTCGAGGCCAGGTCTGGGGCTGCAGGAGGTGGCAGTGTGGACCCATCACACTGTCACCTGCTTCCTGAAGAGCCCTGCTATACAGGGTCCACCCCCCACCCAGGACTGGGACAGGCTGGGGTCCCTTTCCTAATGTGCCAGCTTTTGAGAACGACCCACAAGGAGCCTGCACTGCCCAACCCTGCTGCCTCCAAGGATGGGGAAGCCTGTCCGGAGGGTGAGGCCAGAGATGGTCCCAACACCCATCGAGCTGGAGGAGTAGCTCCATGGGGAAGCGCTCGACTCGACATGCAAAGCCCTGGGTTTATGCCCAGTACTGAAACAAACTGAAAACAACAATAAAAAGAAAAAGTATGTCTTTCCACCCTTTCTACCAGAGAGGCCTGCAACTTAGCTCCCCTTCTTGAGGCCAAAGGGCACCAAGTCTGTCCCTCTCCCTCGTGACAGTAATAACAGTGTAGCTGGCACACGGGCCCACTTCCTCCCCAGCTCCAGCCTCTGGGATGAGAAACTGTGAGGCCGACCGTCCTAGTACCGTGCAACTCAGGGCAGGCAGGGCTTGCAGCGAACAGAGTGGGCCCAGGTGCCAAACCCAGAGTACCGCAGCAGCAGCGCGGACCTCGCAAGCCTGGCGACCGTGGTGAGCGGAGACATTTGACTCTAGTCCCTCTGAGAACTTCCACTAATATCGAGGTAGTGAAGCGCTAACACGGAGAAGGTGTGATAGGGCAGTGAGTCAGTGGAAGCTGGGGAGGGATGGGGTGTCCAGGGTGGGGGCCGCAGGCAGCTGCAGAGGAGGGGAGGCTGTTCGGCTGCTCAGCTTGGGGGAGCCCTGCATGGATGGGACCTCCATACTACCTGCCCCTGAGCCAGGCCTTCCAGCTTGCAGCAGCAGGGGGCACTGCAATTCAAATTCCCTTGGGCCTTCTGGACCCTCACGGCCTCTCTTTCCTCCCTATGACCTGACCACCAGCCATCCCCGCCCACTCACAACCACACACCAGCTGCCCTCACTTCCTTCCACCTGTGTCTGAGGCCCCAGGTCCCTGGCTGTGTCCCTCAGTGCTCCCTCACCCCCAGCAGGTCTGGTCCCGTTCAGGAGGCCCTAGAGCCTCCGCACCTCCTCCTGTCCAGGTGATGTTCCCCTGCACAGCCCACTTGGCCACTTCCTTCTCTGCTCCCCTGCCCCGCCCCTCCTGAGCTCCAGGAGCCCCAGCTGCCTCCCGCAGCACCCCCACCTGGGCACTCGCAAGGGTCCCACACATACAGCAGGTGCTCCTGTCAGCAACCACAATGGGAGTGTGGGGCACAGCGGCGTGGAGCCCCCTGAGGTCTCCAAACCAGGTGCCCTCAGCCTCTCCTTTCTGTCCGCTGCACCAGTGGTCAATACTATTTGTTTGCCACATGGCCTGGTCCCGGTGTGGCTTAAACAGAGCCGAGAGCCTGGGCTTAGTATCCAGGCTGCTGGGGCCAGGGGCTGGACTTCCAGCCACTCCTGCACACTCAAGTGTCACCTGCTACCAGAGGCTCCGAGCTGATGAGGCAGACGGCCCCTGCTGGTGGCCTGTAGTGACACATGCCTTCCCAGTGAGCCCGGGAAGCAAAGTTCAGAAAGGCTGTGTCACCAACTCTAGGGCACACAGCCAGAAAGCAGCCAGAGCCCACTGCCCCATCCACCCTGCAGAGGCCACCTGTGCAAATACCCAGTGGGCGGAGAAGTGGGCAGCGAGGGGAAGTGCCGTTGGCCTCGGCACCTGGGGCGACAATCCAGCGCGCTTACGCCCTGTCTCGAGGGCAACAGCGGCCTGGCCCTCACCGGCAGTGGCCTAGAGTCAGGGCCTGGATCTTCCCATTTTTCTAGGGAAATAAGGACCTAGGTATTTTGACATAGAGGATATTTTTCATTTAAATGTTGGCAAGGCCAGTGAGCTAGCTCAGCGGCCTAAAGCGCCTGCTTAGGCAAGCTTAGGCAGGGGTGCGGGGACTATGCTTCAATCCCCAGCCCCACATGCCTCGCCAGCCCCGCCCCAGCATGGGCTGAGTTGGCAAAAACAAAAGAATGTTGGCGCATGACTAGAAAAAACTCTTTTTAAAACCGTGGGCCCAAAGATAGGATCTGGGCCAAGGTGCACCCCTTGACTTCAAGCTGTCAACCTGAGGATGCCCAGCCTGGCCCTGTAGATGTTCACAAACAATCCCCTCCCACCCTCACCACGCCACAGCAGGAGGCGTCAGATGTTTTCCACCCCAGGGCTGCGCACAGGGCCTGGGTGCTGGTCTCCTCCTCCAGTGCACGGCTGCTTCAGGCCATGCCTGGTCCCCACTCCCTGCCCCAGGACCCTGAGTCTGTCTACTCCTCAGGGGTAGTCCCTGAAGGAGAGAGTCTGCGCAGGGGTGGGGAGCCAGCCCCTCTGCCTCCACAGGCGCCTCTTTGTCTGCACCAAATGCTGCCATTCCTGAGTCCTTTCTGACTGTGCTTCCGGAATCTGTTGGGGTTCAGCCAATCAGATAGTCTCACCCAAGTCGAGGCGAACAGAAGAGTGGAGAAAGCCAGAGAGGGGCAGGTGCTATTTTTACACTGAGCATGGTTGTGGAGGTGACAAGTTTTTAACAAAGTCCTACCTTGGCCAGGCCAGAGGACAGACTTTTCTGTACTATGTGGCTCTAGCAGGTGGCATTCATCTTCCTGAGTCCGGCTCCAGCTCAAGCCACGCATTCCTGGGGCCGAGCCCCACCTGATCCCCCTTCCTGCCTGTGTCCCAGAAGGCAGCTCTCCTGGAGCAGACCCAAATAGGCTAGAGTCACTCCTCCACCTTTGGGGTGCTGCCTGGAGGCCCAGCTCTGAGCCACTCTTCAGGGCAGCCAGGGCTGAGCCAGCAAACTCTCCCAGCACGGCCACCCTCGCTCCTTAAAATAGCCCAGTGGTCTCTACTGTTAGGCACTGACTGACCCTTGACGGATACAGAGCAGGAGGCCAATTATGGCCTCCTAGCTTCAGGAAGCCAGGAAATTCGCCGAGATTAGGCCTCATGAAGTGTGGAGCCTCGGGAGAGACTGGGGAGGGAGGCTAATTAATCTTAGGCCAAGTCTTTTAAATTGCTCAGACTCTGGGGCCAGCCTCGAAGCCACAGTCGAAGACACAGACATGGCTCCTGATAACAGACGGTACTCACCACCACTGAAGAGCCGTCCTGAGTGGGATGTGGGGAATAGCCTCATTAATGAGAAATTAACATTCATTGCTGGGGACAAAAGGAAGCCTCCAGGCCACCTGTCCTCTGGGGCTGGCTTCAGCCTGAGCTGCCAGGATGACCTATCCTGCTGCACACAGACCAGAAGATGCCCGGTGGGGGCTGCAGACCCAAATAGGCCAGCGTTCAAATCCCAGCCTCCTCTCGCCCCTCAAAGCCACGTGACTCACAAGTGACTTCTGAGGGCCTCGGCTTCTCCAGTGGCACAGTGAGGACCTGTACTGACCTGGGGGTCTCTGTGGATGTGGGTGGTGGCCTCCATACGTGGTCCAGGATGAGCAAAGTCTGCTGAGGACAATATTTTCCCTCCTGCTAGCCCTCACCAGCCAGCATCCGCAGGGGTGGAGCCTAAGTGTCCGTGGTTTAGCACCTCCCCAGGGACGTGGGATGAGCAGATACACAGTGGGGCCAAGTAGGGCCCCTGGTCCCCTCCAAAGGGTAAGTGACTGCTGGGCAGGACTGCAAGTGCTACATGGGCAAGAACTTGAGACTGCGGGGAAAGCTGTGGGTCTGAGTCTTGGTTCTGCTACTTCTGGGCTCCTGGCACAGAAAAGCTCCCTGAACGTTTCTGTGCACCTGCTTCCTCCACGTCCTGAGAGAAGAATGACATCAGGCCCTACCAACTAGGACAGTGGTGAGGGTGAGGGGCCACCTGGCCTACTCGGGCTGTGCCTTTTACCCCAGCTGGGCGCACAAAACTGCAGGCTGCTGTCACCTCCACCTCATGGGAGCCAAATGCCCTGCAAAGCGCCTCAGCTGAAGGGTTTTGTCTCCTTCACCTGCGGCACCCCTGGCTCTGAGACCAGGCCCAGCACCTAGTAGATGATCAATAAAAATTGGCTACAGGGGATGATTCTTTATGAAGGGGCTAACAGGTGGCCCTTCCTGCAGAAGAGAAGGAACCCCCCAATCAGATACACAGAGAAGAGGCACCACGACCGTGCCCAGCACACCCATTAGGTGCCGGAAGGCTTTAAATGCCTGACCATATCTCCATTTCGACATCAGCCTCATCCTAAAGTGTGGGCGTGAGCCCCAGTCTTGCCGATACCCTGGGTGTCCAGACCTGGTGCCATCCTCGGCGCTGGACTTTGCAGGGCGTGGTCCGGGAGCCGCACCGTAAGGCTTCTTCCGCTTCTTGAAGCAGGCTTCTTTGTCCATAATCTGCACCAGAGATGGGGAAGGAGACAGTGAGAAGAAACTCACACCGAGCGACAGCCCTGGAGCTGTGTCTAGAGCAGGCAGCAGTGGGTAGAGTCTCGCCTGGGAGGTGGCCACAGCAGCACATTAACAAACCAGCCGAGGGCCGATGAGATAGCTCAGCAGACTAGAGCCCCTGCTGAGGCAAGCGCAGGGACCGCAGTTCCATCCCTGACACCGGGTGCAGCGCCAGCCCTGCCCCCAGGGTGGGCTGAACTGGCCACAACCCAGGGGCATGGTGGTGCATGCCTGTAATCCCTGGGCTGAGGAGGCTGAAAGCAGGAGGGTCACTATGAGTCTGAGCTGCATAGTGAGACCCTGCAACAACCAAATACATAAAACAATTAATTAATTAAAAAAAAAAAAGTCAAATGCCCAGCAAAAAAGGGTCAGCTAATTCAGCCTACCTAGGCTACAAAATAACTTGCCTCATGTACAGCAAATCGGTCTGATCTATATGTATAGAGATAAAGAATCGAGGCAGAGGGTAGCTCGTGCAGTGGGTGGCCATCCGTAGAGAAGAAGGGAGAGGGACGATATGTTTGTCAAATGAATAAAAAAGCTCTTGGGATTCCAAGTACAGATAAACCTCTTATCCGCTTCTCCCGCCTCTCCTAGCCAGCAGCGTGCCCGGGCTCCTACACTATGAAAGCTAGGGCACCCCTGGTTTCCTCCCATGCCTTGGAGTGGCTCTCCTGAGGGACCATTTTGGGACATTGCTTTCTCCTCTTACTCTTGCTATTGTCCTGACTTTCCCTGTGTGTTAAAGGCTTGGGTGCTTACCACACGTATGAAGCACTGAATTAGAGTAACACAAATCAAGGTCTCTGTGTGCCAGGCCATTTCCACTTCGTATGTCATTAAACCTTGCTGGCTAGCCTGCAAATTGGACTTCATTAGTCCCATTTTGCAGAAGAGGAAACTGAGGGTCCAGAGAGGTCCCCAATTTTTTGTGATCATGAAGCTAGAAAGTATCAGACAGGCCCCATTCAATCTAGCTCTGTCACAGTCCCAATTTTCTTATAACTCAGTAACATGCTGGGGGCCGGAGAGATGGCTCAGTGGAATAAGCGCTTCCCTGGCAAGCGCAAGGGCCTGAGTTCAATCCCCGGTTCTGAAAAAAATAAAAAAAAAGTAACATGCTGGCCTCTCAAGACAACAGAGTCTGCCACAAGGGGCACCCTGGGGACAGGCACCGAGACAAAGTAGCTCCCCATGGTGGGACAGCCCAACTGGGACCAGACTCCCTGGGCCTCGCCACTCCATTTGTTTGGTACCAAGTCATCTTGGGGGCCTGACTCCACTAGACCAGGCATGAGTAGGGATCTTTCCTGTCATGTTCACAGGTGTCCCACGTTCTCCTTAGAGGACACAAAATCCGTTTAGGGTACAGATGGTACAGACGGATGAAATACAGAAATGAATGGTGGAATCAAGCAGCACACAGGGGAGAGGTGCTAACGTCAGGAGATATCAACAGCAAATTTGGCATAATCCAAAGTATCTTAAACACGTCCTGAAGAGTAGGAAATTTATTGCTTAGTCTGCCTTTGCAACTGGCAGTAGAGGAAAAAACCAGTTTTAAAAGGAAGAGAGGGCCAGTGAGATAGCTCAGTGGACTAGGAGTCTACTTAGGCAAGCACGGGGACTAGGGTTTAATCCCCAGGACCACATGCCGCGCTGGCCCAGCGCCCAGGTGCACTGAGCCAGACACCTAGTCCGGGCATGGTGGCACACCCCCGTAATCCCAGTGTTGGGGAGGCTGAAACAGCAGGATCACTAGGAATCCAAGCTGTGTAGTAAGACCATGTACCACATACATTAAAATAATAATAATAATAAATTTAAAAAGGCCGGTCAGATAGCTCAGCAGATTAAAGCGTCTGCTTAGGCAGATGCAGGGACCAGGGGTTTGATCCCCAGCCTGCCCTGCCCCCTGCCCGTGGGGCGTGCTGAGATGGAGATTGAGACTGGGCGTGGTGGCGTGCGCCTGTAAGCCCAGCACTTGGGAGGCTGAAAATCAGGAAGGATCATCACAGGTCTGATCTGTATAGTGAGACCCTATAGACCCCGTACTAACACAAATAAAAATTAATTAATTAATTTAAAGAAATAAAGAGGAAGAGAAAGGAATTTCCTGGGTTGGGAATGTGACTGGGTGGTAGAGCACTGGCTCAGCGTGTGAAGCCTGGGATCCCTTCTGTGGCTACCAAATAAAAAGGATTAAAAATAAATAAATAAATAAATAAATAAATAAATAAATAAGGATTTACTTCCTTGCCCTAATAATTTCTTCCTGGTTAAGTTAGCATAGCTAACGTATCACATTAACTAGTTATCTGTTCGTCAGTGCACTAGGGTGTGGTTCCAGGACTCCTAATTTTCCTTCTTCCTTTGCGGTGCTGGGGAGGGAACCCAAGGCCTTGCGCATGCTGCAGCCCTGGCCCCTCTGTGTGAAGGAGCGGCGCGCTGCCTGCCCACGGGGGCCGGTACCCACCGTGCATCCCGTCGGCCTGGGAGGCGCTTCTGGAGAAGTCCGCGTGCACGGCCTTCCGAGGCAACGTCCTCAGCTCCGAGTTAGCGCCATTCACGTAGACGGAGAAGCCCTGCTCCAGGTGCTGCAGCCGCAGCTGCACCGGGTCCTTGGCGTTCAAATGCTTCAATATCCTGGGAGCGAAATGATCGCGTGAGTGTCGGAGTCGCCACTGGCCCCCAGCCCGAGGTGAACAGCTCTTGGCATGGCAAAGGCAAGGGGCCCCGGATAAGCAGGCGTAGAGAAAGCGTGAGGGGGAGACTATCGGCAAGCCCGTGGGGTTCTGAGGTTCAAAGGCACATGGGTAAAAATCACGGCTCGTGGCCCCTGCCTGGTGGCGGCGGAGGCTGAAGGGGGGGGCACCCCACTGCTGGCACACCATCTGGATTTTCAGAGGCACTTCCAATTCTATGCAGTTTGACTTGGTGTGAACAGCAATCTCTTGCTGTGTGACAAAAGGTGGCTTCGGGAAGTGTCCTCCTCACACTCAGCAGACTGACCTGTCCGCGTGGGAGAATAAACACATCCTCAGACGCTCCCCGGCTGCATCTCACGTGCCACCATTTCATGTTCCAGTGAAGTCAAAAAGCACATCCAGTTTGAGATGGATCCGGTGACTGTCAACCCCTCTGGCACCAGCCTGGTGGCCAGGCCTCTAGGCTAGCTTCCGGCCTGGCCATCCAACCCTGCCCTGCCACTGCAGGCCTCCAAAGGTCACGGCATCCTTTGTCACCCCTCAGGCCCAGTCAATGAGGTTTATACAGAAAACCAGCCCGCATGGAAAGCAGCATCTTTCTTAGCAACGATGGCAGGGCCTACCACCTTAGCAGAATTTCCATTTTAAAAAATAATTAGCCCACGACCTCCATTCTAAACATACACATACAGCTGACTCTCACTGCTTGAAGTCCTTATGTTTCAGGCTGTCACCATAAACATCGGCTCAGTGAATACTAAACCACTGCTCACAGGGAGATGACAGAATCAGGTTCCCGGGAGCCTCTGATCACGTTTTCAGTCAATCAACGCACCCCTTGTTTTATGCGTGCATGATTAAAGCACCCACCCTACCGCGGTGTTGATTCACTGACACTGAACTCTCCGCCACACCACTTGAACTCAGGACTGAACGAAGTTTGCCTAACACACCTACAAAGGATGATCAAAAATTACAGTGAATTTCATTTTTTAAAATCTCAGGCTGGGGAGGTAGCTCAGCGGTCTAAGTATCTGCCTGGCAAGTGCAAGGACCCGGGTTCCATCCCCAGGACTGCATGCTGTGCCAGCCCAGGAACTCCAGGCGCATCATGCCAACCCAGTGGTGGCACATGCCTATAATCCCAGCCCTTGGGAGGCTGAGACAGGAGGATCACTATGAGTCCGAGCTGCGTATCGAGACCCTGTACCAAATACATAAAGATTTGTTTGTTTTTGCTTTTAATATATTTAGTACAGGGTCTCAATACACAGTTCAGACTCATAGTGATCCTCCTGTTTTCATCTTTCCCAGCACTGGGATCACAGGTGTGCACCACCACGCCCAGACTCAGTCGCTGGCTCAGCAGGCCCCAAGATGGGGGATAAAACAGCATGTTGGACTGGGGATCGAACCCTGGTCCCTGCACATGCCAAAACAGGCACTTAGTCCAACTTGGTGCACTGAGCTATCTCACCAGCTCTAAAGATTTTTTTATAAATTTTTTTAAAAAAACCTATTCTAGTAAGAAACACCTTACCCTTAGTCCACGTCACACCACTCCCCCTCCACACACTTCCTTCCTGCCACTCTCTGAAGCAGCCCTGGAAGCCCTCTTCCTTATCATTAGCTGCCCTGGGTTGCCGCGGTCCCTTTGGCTGCGGGGCAGACCCAGAAGCTGCCCGGTGCCAGATCCCGCGCTGCAGGGAGGCTTGGCAGCGGCAGTCACTGTGTTTCTCATTGCACCTTGTGAAGACACTCATGACAGAGGACTCGGGAACTGTCCCAGCCAGGAGCAGAACAATGCGCTCGGTATGTATGTGTGTTGGGGATAGATCTAAGGGGCGCTGTGGTAATGCGTCATTCCTATAATAGCTTTTTTTTTTTTTTTTTTTAATTTTTTATTTATTTTATGTGTGGCCAGCTCAGCCCACCAGGGGGCAGGGCTGGCTGGCATGTGGTGCTGGGGATTGAACCGCGGTCCCTGTGCTTTGCTTAGCTTGTTCTAAGTAGGTGCTTTAGACCACTGAGCCATCTCACCAGCCCCCCTATAATAGTTTTTAAAAGCTTAAACATGCACCCTGTTCTCAGATCAGACCTCACACAGGATTTTCTCCAGGAGGCACAGCAGAGCGGCTTGCGCTGGGGCGCTCAGGACAGCTTTTCAGTGCCTGCCTGCAGGGCGGTTCACATGGAGAAAGAGCCAACTAAGGCACAGAACTGCGGTGCCCGGCAGACAGCAGGAAGGGCCCTCGGTGCAGCAGGAGAATGAGCCCAAGAAGGCCCAGCGCGGTTCCGCTCGCCTCTGCCCAGACGTGTGTCAAGTGACTCGAAGGTATTTCTGCCGCTCTGCACTTGTCTATAAGTGACTGCGAAGGAGCAGCAAGGGCTGACTTCAGGGCTCAAACAGGCAACCTGAGAATCATGAGGATAAACTGTGGTAGGACACCAAACTTCACAACAGCTCTGTGGGTAGTCATTGTCCTCCTTTAATAACTGAGGAAAAGCCAGGTGTGGGGGCACACGCCTGTAATCCCAGCACTCAGGAGGCTGAGGCAGGAGGATCACTGCGAGTTTGAGATCAGCCTGGGCTACAAAGTGAGCTCAAGGCCAGCCAGAACCGCAGAGTGAAACCCTGGCTCAAAAAGACACAAACAAGCAAACAAAACAGATGAGGAAATTGAGGCACGGAGAGGCTAAGTACCTAGACCACGGTTACACAGCTAGTATGCGGCTGGGCCAGCAAATGCGGGCAACCTGGCTCCAGAGTAATCGCCAGGACGAAGGCTAACGCGAGTGGAGCGGGGCCAGAGCTGCAGACGGATGCTGCTGGAGGCTCAGCACCTTCCCAGAGGAAAGAGCGAGACCGCGAAGAAGCCCCGTATCTGGTCTTTGCCTGCGAAGCACATTCTAGAAAAACGGTCCTGAGGGGAGGCTGTGGGCAAGAAGATGGTCAACATTCAGACGTTAAAGAGACCGGGCAAGGCCCAAGCGTCCTCCCACAGGGAAGGAGAGACTGGGGTGTTGGCAGCAGGGACGGATATTTAGGCCCTAACAGGGCCAGTGGCTCAGTGGAGCCACTCCATTGACTTCTTCTGGCTGTGGAGCAGAAGAGTCTAGACTCCCTAGGAACATGGGGGCAGGGGCTGGTGGTATCTCGCAGGGGGAAAGAGCCCAATGGGAACGGTACGGAGGCCTCGATGCAAGGGTGTGGGGGCACACTTGCACACAGAGTGGAGGGTGAGAAAAGTAAAAATGAAATCAATGGTTGGCGGAAGGTGGTGGCAACCACGGGTGCTTTCTGTTTACTTGTCCAGTGTTTCTTTAGCACTGGTACATCTGTCTTTTCACCAATCACAGCAGGAACATTTATTACAGGCTGCTTATCTCTTGCCAGCCTTGGAAGCCTGCGAGATGCCTGACTGTTGGACAACAACATAAAAACAGAAGGAAAACACAAGTATCTAAGAGACCACTTCCCATGAGCGCTGCACTCATGGGAGTGACCCGTGAAGGGACGCTGGGGACCAGCGTCTCTGTGGAGAGTGGCCTGGGGCGGGGAGGGGATGTTGGGAGCCAGGCAGAGCCTGGCGCCCCCACTCTTCTCTCCCAGAGGCTGCCCTGCCTCCTGCGCCGCATCTGGTAGGATACCCTGCTGCCTGGGATCGGGGCCGGCGCCGCACGTGTGCCTCTCCTTAAGCAGGATGATTTATGAAAATGCGGATTTATGAAACTGATAAATTAGGAGATAATTATTCAGACTGTGAAAGGAATTGCTGAAGGAACTCCCCTGAGCACATCAGTAACATTCAGGTGGCAACTGAGAAACCGACTTTAAAAAAAAAAAAAAACAAAACAGAACTGATAGCCTGCTTTGCATAAGAAGCTGTCCTAGGGGTAGGGATCCAGATCACCGAGACTGAGCTCGTGCCCAGCCTGTGCCCACCTCCTGCCCCACCGGCTCTGTTCTCTTGCCTGTTTTCTTCCGGTCTCCACACAGACCACTAATGCTAATGTATCAGGGACCTGCTGGTATCCGTTCCTTCCTCTTGCTTTACCTGGGCACAAGCATTTGTCAGGCTGGCTGCAATGCCCACCTGGTGTGACCAACAAGGTCAGTCCCGCTTCTTGAACACTGGCCCCAAGCACCACAGGGCCTGGCAGGGGCACAAGGTGCAGTTAATATTCACGGCGACCGTGTGTCTGAGCCAAGTTACGGCCATCGTTGTCATTTCACGTGCATGGTGACCTCTGGCTCAGCCACTCTCTCACACAGGAGAGGCACACAGTGTCCCAAAGGGGGTGGTTGAGGCCCTGGCACAGCAGGGACTGGGGTGCATGGGATTCATTCTCCCCTCCCCGCGGGCCACCAAAGCGGAGGCCCAGTGGCAACGAGACCCGCAGGAGCACAAAGAGCAGCTGGGTTTGCTGACTGGGGCACAATGGCATAGAGATGACCTGGGCAGCTGGGTATGGCTGCATGTGCCTATAATCTCACTACTCTGGGAGGCTCAGGCAGGAGGGTCTAGAGTTCAAAGCCAGCCTGAGGCAACTTAGTGAGGTCTCATTCCAAAATAAGAAATAAAAGGCTGAGGATGTAGTTCAGAGTGAAGGCCAGGATTCAGTCCCCATTGCTGCACACACACACACACACACACACACACACACACACACACACACACACAGGAGCCAGAGGACGGTGAGCGTGGATGTGGTGATAGGCTTGCTATGCACCTCCAAGTACCTTGTCTCGCCACACCTTCAGCTGGGTGTGCTCTGAGTGTCCTCTGGCCTGTGTCACAGATGACCCTGCCCACCATAGAGTGCCCAGGAAGTGGCCTGGCTAGGACTTTGCTTGGGCCTGTGCCCCACCACCCCTGTGCAGTTTCTCCAGGTGCCCTTACCAGGGGCTCTGAGCCAGTGGAACTCAGAGGGAGCTGGGCTGGGACTCCTGAGGGGCAGAAGTACTTCATCAGAGCCCCACCCTGCAGGGGAAGGGGGTCCTTTACACCGTCCCAAGGAGCTGCACCTATGCAGGCCAGGGTGGCATCCCACGGAGGATGGAGCTTAGCCCTGGGGCTCTGCTATTTCTCAGCCCGTCACCCTGGGCAGGTCCCTCGCCCTTAGGGCCCGTTTCCTCTTCTGTGGAAAGCAAGCAAGCATGCCTGCACCTGCCCGGGTACCAGGGGCACAAAGGGCCACGATGAAGGTACCAGCCTCAGCACTAGCCCAAGCCAGGCCCCCATAATGCTTCCTCGCCTGTCTTCTTTCTGCCCATATCTCCTTTTAACAAGGTGGGCTCCCCTCACCTGCCTTACCGGCCTGTTTTCTTATACATTTCCCTCAAATGACCTTTCTCAAGGACCAAAGGACAACGCTGCTGCTGGACTCTCACATCTGGTGAGCTCTCCGCACCAGCTCCGCAGTGCAAAGCCCTAATCTCTGCAGTTGGTCCCTGTCTGTCACTCGGCTGGCCGTTTGATCATCCTGCCGGCTCATTCACCAATCTTGTTGGATGTGATTACACTGTGTGTGCGGCCGAGTGACCGGAATGGGTAAGAGTCTGCAGGCCTGAGCCGCGGGGAGGGTCTGTGCAGGGACATGCCCTCCCCACCTCTGCCCCTCCCAGCACACAGGACAGAGTTCTGCTCTTTCCGGTGACAAGCAGTTTCCACCCAGGGAGTTCCACAAGACCAAGCAAGGATCGTGGGCCGGACACCCATCCTTTATCCTTCCCAGCAGCTCTCCCCACCCTCAGAAGGCTCCTTGGGCTTCTTAGGGGACAGTAAGCACCCCCATACTCCCCCATACTCTAGTAAGTGGCTAGACTAGGACTGCCTCTCCTGCCCAGTCTAGGGGAGTGGCCCAGAGCTATGGCCCCCATCAGACAGGGGGAGGAGTGCTCCCAATGGGACAGAGCAGGCCGGGGGGAGTCCTTAGCTCACATGCTACAAGGACTGGGAGGGAAATGCTCTCTCTTTGAGAAGGATGTAAACAGGGCTTTGGCTGGCCTTCTTAGCCACTGGGAGGGAAGTCACTGCCTGAGAATGATTCCATATGGGAAAAACGGCGGAGACAGAACAAATGACACTGGTGACACAACTGCAGCTCCTGCTTTGAGCTACGCCTAAAGCCACTTAGCACGCCGGATGTCTTAATTCCATGAGCAAACAACCTTTCCAGGTGTATACGTCTACTTAACCTTGCGTTTTGGTCCCCTACGACCAAAGGACAAGGCACTATGGCAACGCGCCTCCCTCCTTGTGATGCTTTCCTTTGAAGGAGCAGAATTCCAGGCACTTGGAAGGTGCCCGTGAAATGCTCCTGGCTGAACAGAATGACGTCACCGGCATTGAAGGGGCAGCTATGCTCAGACAGGTCTCTGTGAAGAACCCCTGAGGGTCACGCATTCTCTTCTCCTGTCACAGGCAACTGGGCCAAGCTGCCTGGGTTGCCTCCCCCTTGGAGCCTGCTATGAATGCTAAAGACTGGTTTTTCTACCTGGTTATATAACTCAGCTTCCAAGAAAATTACAGTTTACTCCCACCAAATTCCATCTTCATAAGCTTAGGGCTATTGGCAACTCTGGCAGGCTCCTGTCGCTTTATCTATGAAAACATCAAACAAATTCTAAAGTACAACCCAGCTCTGCTGCTTCTTGATTTGGCAGACCCCAGGCATGCTGGTCACCGTTCTGTGTGTTTACTTTCTCATCTGTAGAATGGGTACAGTCACTCCACCTGCTTGGCTGGCAAGTATGCAGATAAAATTAAGGGGTAGCTGAGGCTCAGCTGGCCGTGGCCTGAGGGCACTCCCCGCTCCGTGTTCTCCCTGCAAAGGTTCCTCTTCTCCACTCTGCTTTCTAGTTTCCTGCCGTGAAGACAGCTCCCCTCAGTAAGAACACCCCCCAATTCTATGGCAACTTGGTTTTGATATATTTTTAATTGTCTTGGAATAGCAACCTTATCTCTGGAACTTCTCCTCGATGTTATCCGCCCGGACCTCGCAGACTGCACGCTTACTGACCCCACCCCACCTCCGATTAAAGAGACGTTCTCTGCTCATAAGGAACCACGACACTCTCTCCCTAGACGCGTCACATGGAATTGATGAGACCATCACCCAGGTGTTCTGTGGCACCTTCCGGCCTACCAGAAATGCAATGAACACATCCTGCTCCCTGCTAGTGACAATGACAAAGGCCCGCGGCGGTCTCGTCAGCACACGCTCGCTGGAGGCTGCCCCGGGATGCAGGTGAAGAGCCCTGGGCAGCTGGGCATGGACAGCACTGCCTGGCCCTCAGGCTGGTCCTGCAGAGGCTACACAGAAGTCCTCCAGCAAAGCTGGAGTGGGCCGCCTTCCTAGGGGTATTGGGCAATGTGGGCAGGTGCTGTTGCCATGGAGACAGGGCTGGGCAGGCCTGGATGGACAGTGTTACAGGCCAGGGGGTAGGGGTGCTAACCTATAATGCACAGGACCATCCATCCTAAACCTCAAAGTTATGTCCCCTGAACTGGGGATATAGCTCAGCAGCACACCGTGTGCCTGGCAAGCTCAAGTGAGTTCAATTCCCAATAGCAAAAAAAAAAAAGTCCCACATAGAATGCCACCAGGCCTCTACTAACAAACCTCAGTCCCGCCAGTCAGACGAGGGCTCAGCCACATTCAGATGATGCCCAGGACTCTCCTGTGAGACCCCAAACCTACTCCCATAACACAGCAGCCTGAATCAGCACCCGCCTTCGCTTCCTGCAGTCACTTTTGATTTGTAGGTCTGCACTATTCTTCTGTCTGGCTTGTGCTTTAATTGCATTCGTTACCAACCCTTTAAAGCTCTGGAGATTTTACAACATATTCAGGTTTCCAGCCTCTCTGGTAAATTTGGAGGAGTTGGGCGCTACAGGCCTGCATTCCGATCAACAAGTGGTCTAAGCAGGGTCCCCGCTGGGCCACTGTCACTCACTCTGTAGCCCCTCGAAGCCTTTGAGTTTGCACACGCAGCTCAGGCTCGAGGTGGCAAGAGGAACCCCAGTGAATTGGAAATGAACCACTCCGCCCTGCAGGGAAAGGAAGGCCTCCTGCCTCCCGGCACCCGCACCCGGCTGCTCTGACCTGGATCACTGAACACCCTACCTACTGCAGGCTTTTTTAGAACCCGCACTAACTTAAAATCAGCCCCAATTTAACTTTAAATGACACCCCCCCCCCTTCAAACCCAAATGTAAAATGACTCTGCCGTTATATAACATGACATGACTGTAGGTTCAGGCTTCAAGGACTGTCAAAGCTGGTGAGATTACAGGCTGGGCTATGAGACAGCGGCTGCCTAGGCCCTCACAAATTCCTCCTTCTGCCCATTCTGCTTTCTCCCAGAACAGAATCAGAGAGGCAGGAGGAGGCGCTGCCACACAGGCGAGGGTGTACAGCTCAATCCAAAGATGCAATTAAACCAGTGAGCAGAGAAACAGGAGCTGAGACTGCAGGTAACATCCCAGGCCTCTGGGTGGAGGGGGGCCTTCGCATCCCATCGCCATGCAAATAGGGCCTGCCTGTGGCTAATAAATCTAAAGAGATTTTTATTTGGCTAATAACAAGGGCTGCCGTTGGACGGCTTCATCTTACCGGTTCCTCTGCTGAAGCAATATTAAATACTCATCATGTTTCTCATCAAAGTCTGTCACCATGTCCTTAGTGTAACCCTGAAATGAAGAAACAGAGCCGTGTGACAGCGGAATGCAGGGAAGCCGGCACTGAGAGCCAGGCGCAGCGGTGCACACCTTGCAGGAGGCTGGGGGCAGGGGCCCGCCTTGCCAAGGCCTCGCTCCCTGGAGGTGTCACTCTGGCAACCCAGTGCCCCGAGACTGCCTGATGGCCCCAGGGGCCTTAGACACAACAACGTTAATAATACAGAAGTTAGCGACCCAGCCTTGCTGCCGTTATTCTTCCTATGTGCTGTGCAATCCGGGGGTCAGACAAGACTTGGTTTCTCTTTCTTTCTTTCTTTCTTTCTTTCTTTCTTTCTTTCTTTCTTTCTTTCTTTCTTTCTTTCCTTCCTTCCTTCCTTCCTTCCTTCCTTCTTTCTTTCTTTTCTCTCTCTCTCTCTCTCTCTCTCTCTCTCTCTCTCTCTCTCTGTGTTTATTTGTTGTTGTCTTCAGGTTGTTTTTTTGTTTTGAGAGGATCTTCATCCATAGCCCAGGCTGACTGAGAACTTCCTGTATGGCCTAGGCTAGCCTTGAACTCGTGATCCTAAACCTGACTTCTGGGCATACAGGTGTGTACCACGACGCTCAGCAAGATGTTTTCTCCATGCTTATTAATTGGTTATTTCAAATGCCATAACTACATGCAACCCTAAATCAACTGTTTCAAAAAGGATCTCAGATTGTCCTTGTCACCTCGAGAGGAACACGCGTGTATAAACAACACGGTCACTACAGATACGCGTGGCCCTGAGAGGGAGGGTCCCTTGGGTTGCCATTGGTGACTCTGCGCCTCCTTCTGGATATCATGCCTCTGTATTCCCATGCAGAAACCACCCAGCCGCTCTTGCAGTTCAGCGGCCTCCTCCGGCTGCCCTGCAGTGCTCCCGTGGGTTCCCGTGAGATCACTCTGCACCTGGTGCTTCTGCCACAGCCAGTGTGAGGACCTGGTTTGGGGCGAGCCTGACTTGTTGGCCCTGAGACTGTTGATACTTTGGGGAAAAAGAGCTGTTCTCTTCACTCCAGGGTGCTGAGCAGATGAGACACAGGCTTGGGCCTGGGAAGAAAGCCAGGAAAAGACACAGCAGAGCTAGGGTAGTGGCACATACCTATAGCCCCAGACAGTCAGGAAGTGAAGAAGGAAGGATCTCAAGTTCGAGGCCAGCCTGGACAACTTTGCAAGATCTTGTTTCCAAAGAAAAAAAGGATGTGGTTCAGGGCTGCCTTGGTTTTCAACCTCTAGTATAGAAAGACAGTGAGGGAGAGATGGAGGGGAACGAGACACAGATTCCTATGACATCACTGAGTCACTGGATCCATTCATGCCTGACCAAGTCTCTGGAAAATTCAGCTGCAGCTTTAGAAGCTTCAGTCGAGGTTCTGTCCTCTACAGCCAAATAAATTCCGAGCAACACACCACTGGAAACAGCTCCTTTTACAACTGATTACAGGGGGCCTGCCCCGTAGCTCAGTTCTTTAAGTGGCTGCTTCAACAAAGCAGTCAGGCTCCGGTTGCTTTGGTTCGAGCCCCACAACACAAGACAGCCAGTCATGCCTTGAAGGCATTCCGAGAAAAAAAAAAAAAAAAAAAAAAAAAAAAAAAAAAAAAAAAAAAAAAAAAAAAAAAAAAAAAAAAAACACTTCTACAACTGATTACAGCTTTGCATTGAGATAGTGTACAGTAAACTATACATATTTAAAGTAACACATACATAACAATAAATCTCTCTGAAAAAACTCCCTGGCATGTTTTTCTATGTTGATATGTACCAGACACATCTACACACAGATAGAGCCTTGTCCTTTTAAACAAAAATAAGATCCTACTGTAAATGATGCTTTGCAATGTGCTGTTTCATTTATTTATTTAGTTAAGGGCCAGCCAGATAGCTCAGCAGATTAAAGCACCTGCAAGCAGGCGCAGAGGCCAGGGGTTCGATCCCCGGGCCTGCCATACTGGCCCCGCTCCTGGGGCACCCTATGATGGCAATTGAGACTGGGTGTGGTGGTGCGAGCCTGTAATCCCAGCTCTTGGGAGGCTGTAAACAGGTGGATCACTATGAATCTAATCTAGTAGTGAGACCCTGAACACCCTGTAGACCCTTCCCTAAAATTCAAAATAAACAAAATAAATAAATAAAATAGTTAGTTGGTACAGAGTCTTGCTACACAGCTCAGACTCGTAGTGATCCTCCTGTCTCAGTCTCCCCAGCGCACTACCACAACCAGCTTCAGGGCCGACACAGCATGTGGTACCGGGGATTGAACCTGGGTCCTTTGTGCACCTGGGTCCTTTGTGCTTGCCAGGCAGGCGCTTAGACCACTGAGTTATCTCTCCAGCTAGTTTTTTTTTTTAATATTACAGTATCATTTTCTTTTTTAAAAACTTATTTATTTATTTGTGTGTGTGGCCAGGCGGGGCTGGCTGGCTTGTGGTGCTGGGGGATTGAACCGTGGTCCCTGTGCTTTGCTAAGCTTGTTCTAAGTAGGTGCTTTAGACCACTGAGCCATCTCACCAGCCCAACTCCAGCTAGCTCTTAAATAACTTTTTACCAAGGACCGGATTAAAGATACAGTCTCAACTCTGCACTGGTGAAGAGTTACAGCAAGTTCCGGAGATCGTCTCAAATGGCAACTAGGTCTCATGGGAGGGAAAAGCAACTAGTAGGGAAGTCCTAAAGACCAGTATGCGGAGAAGAGAACAGGAGAGAGGAACACAGAAGGTCCGGTGTTCTCTTCGTAATTCCCCGTATCTGCTTTTAGCCCTATGACACTACTGCAGCCCTACCCAGGGGTGGCCAGCGCCACCTGAACTAATGCAATGGCGCCCAAGGTCTGACGCTCCCACTGACAGCACAGCCGCCGCTTTTCCCTTCCAGTTCCATAGTCAGTGAGTTCCATGAGCTGTTCGATACTTTATTAGGAAATACGCTCTGTGGTAGACAACGCTGCCTGGCTGTAGCCTAAGGCAAGCGTCCCGAGCGTATGGGAGGCTACCTTCAGCCATGGCAGGTAAGGCAGACGAAGTGCACCTTCACCCGGCAGTGTTTCCAACCCAAGATGGGCTGGCTGAGCTGCGCGCCCGCTGCAAGCCAAGGAGGGTCTTACGGCTGCTCTTCTCTCCGCCCTGCACAGGCGCTCGGGCGCTGGGCCCGGCTCAGCCCCAGCCCTTGCTGCTAACCCGCACCCTCGCCGTGCTCCTCCTGCGCAGCCTCTGCCTGGGCCTGCCCTGGCCGCCCCAGACCTCGGTTCTCGTCCGCGGCTGCCACTGTCTCCCTGTCTGCTGTCCTTGCAGTGCCGCGGATGGAACCCCGGTCCTTGCACGTGGTACGCAAGCCTATCGCCGAGTTCCCACCCTGCAGCCCTAAAACCGCTGAGTGTTCTGGAGATTTTGCAAGCTAATTTCACCCACCTGCATGAAAGCAATAATAAGAAAGGGTAATATTATGAAACTATAAAAATTTTTCAAAAACAAGCCCGCAAACTAGCTTCTCTGGCTTCCTGAGACGCCCGAGCCCTGCTTCCCTGCGCATGCACGAAGCAGCTGGCAGGAACCAGCCCAAAGGTGGAGGCGGGAGGGCGCTCCCGGGTCCATTCCAGGAGAACAACACACGCGTTCTGCGAACAATTTATGTAGCATTTCCAGATCCATTATTCTCCTTTGATCTTCACAGCCGCTCTTGAAGTGGTTATTATTACCCCATTTAAGATACAAGGAAATCCATCCCATGCATCATCCCGGAGCACCGATAGGACTCCGTGGCCATTTACATAACCATTTTGAAATATTAAAATGACCACTGATAAATTATGTCATGGAATGAAACATTTGATGGCATTTTGAGAAGAAATATGGACTTCAAAGAGATCTAAGTTTGTACTGGACTGTCCTGAGCTTTCTGTACATTTCTGGTTTTGTTTTTTTGAGGCAGGGTCTGCCTGTGTAGTCCAGGCTGGCCTCAAACTCACAGAGGTCCTCCTGACTCAGCCTCTCAAGTGCTGGATTTACAGGCATATGCAACCACCGCCAGCTTATCTTGGGCTTCTCTCAGAGTCTCCAGGAAAACAGCCTCTCTCTCCCCTGCCAGGAGGGAGCTGTTCCCAGAAAGACAAAGCCATCCAGCTGGACTCGCTGCACGAGCCTCCTGCTTCCCAAATAGTGATGTGTCTGGCGCTCTTCTGCGAAGTGCGGAGAAATGCAGATTCTGCCCACCAGGACTGCAGAGTCCCCCAGGGTGCACAGTGAGTCAGCTCCTGGGGATGCCCGGGACTACCCTTTGAGAAGCAAGGCCCTGGACCGGCCAACCTTCCTCCCCACAGTTCACAGTACATCACTTGAGCTGGGAACGTGGAAGATGTGGACTTCAGGCCTGGCCCCAAGACATAACACTGCCACGTAGTTTATCTGTAAACTGGGGGCAATGCAAGTGCTGAGAGGCGGTGGGACATCTGAGTGAGCCATGCCTAGGAGTGTTCCAGACCCTAGGGCTCCACCTTCAGGATGGGATTAATGTAGCTCTCGAGAGACCAGGCTAACTCTCGGAAGAATGAATGAGTTCTCGCTCTCGCAAGATCCGATGAACTGCCACGAGCGTGGGCTGCTATCAAGCATGGCTGCCTCCTGCCCTCTCTTGTGCACTCCTGCATGCCTCTCTGCACCCCATGGTGCTATGGTATTCCGTGCCAGAAGCTGCTCTAAGTCCTGGACTTCCTAGCTTCCAGAACCATGAGAAACTTCTTTTCTTTATAAATCACCCCCTCTCAGTTACTCTGTAATAGGAGCAGAAAACAGGCTGAGACAAGATGACTCGCAGACTGGGTGCAATAGCAGTTGAAAGGGCTCAGCCAAGCACCTGGCACTTACGAGGTTCTTAGCGATCACGAGTGACATTGACACTTACAGTCTTCCACTACTGAAGTAACACTGTCTCAACCAACCCTACCTCAGCCTGTCTCCTCAGCCCGCACGCTTACTCCTACCCGGATCTCTAAAGCATCCT